TCTAGTTCTTCTGGTCTCAGGGTCATGGAGGCTGAGGCTCATGTGGCCCATTAATCTTATGGACTAATTGTTTCCAAGTGTCTTTTATTTTCTTCACTCTTCTTTGCTCTAGACAGGGAGAAATCAATTGGTGTACCTTAGATGGCTCCCTGTAAGCTTTTAAGACCCCAGTCACTACTCATCAAAGTAGAATGTAGAACACTGTCTTTGTGCACTATGTCATGCCAGTTGACCTTGATGTCCCCTGAGAGGACCTTTCCCTGAGAGGATTTTTCCAAGAAGGACTTTTGCTCTCCTTATCATCCTTCTGTCCCTCATACTGGCAATTTCAGGCCTTCGGGCTCACTAGCCTCTGAGCAGAGGTCTGTGGTCAACAACAGTCACTCAGGGCACCAGGAAATAAAGAGAAATATGTTCTGATACAGGGATGAATGAGTGGATGGATGGATAAATAAAATTTAGGCGAGAAGAGGGATCTCACATACTTCATCCCTATTAATCTCATTGTTAGGAACTGAAATCCCTAAAATGGGCCACTTCCAGGCAAATTCTAGTTGGTAGAATAAAAAAAAACCAAACTCACTGCCGTCAAGTTGATTAGACTCATAGTGACTCCACTTTGGGTTTCTGAGGTGGTATCTCTACGGAAATAGATTGCCCAATCTTCTTTCTGAGGAGTGGCTGGTGGGTTACTCTACTAGAATAAGCAGGTCTCACCCCATGCCCAGTCTTGAAAGACCTTCCATTTCCAGACATTTGAGATCCAACCTTCTTTAAATAAGGTCAGCAGGATGAATCACTGAGCACCTAACTAATTTGTGCTCCTAGCTCTACTTCTAGCAAAGAACTAGATCCTTGCTTTTGGGGAATTTTTCAAGGCAGAAAAAAAATTTGAAGTCAAAGGCCTTAAACTCATTGAAGATATATTGCTTAATGTCTCATGAGGGGAGAGGAAAGAGAATAGATAGGAAGAAGATGAGGTTACCTCCCCACACCACCTTTTGTCTCTCTCTCTCTCTCCCCACTTCCTCTTCCTCTTCCTCTCCCTCTCTCTCTCTCTCTCTCTCTCTCTCTCTCACACACACACACACACACACACACACACACACACGCTTATGCTGAAGAGGCTGGAGATCTGTGAAGCCAACCCCCTCCTCCCTCTAGTATGGCCCTGTAGGGGCAAGGCCTCAGAGGAGAAAGAAGACTGGCAGTTACAGGGGAGTGAGGACCAGCATTGGCTTCTCAGTCTCAGCCAGGAGTCCCAGGCCCCAGCTGCTCATGGAGACAGAGCGCCACTGAGGTGAAGAGACCATAACAAGGGAAGATGTCTGTGGTGACTGACAAATTGAAAGCCTGTCCTCATTTTCGAGGCTCACAGGAGCCTCTCCAGTTCTGGTCATCAGTAATGACTGAGACTGCTTCCCACCATCCCTATAGGATAGAGATTTGACTTTGAATATTAATTTTATTTAAATAAATTAAACATGATATTTCTGGTAGATCTCTGTTGTAAGCTGAGATTCACATTTGTTATATGAAGAAACAGCTCCTTGATTTGTTTGCTTCTCTACCTCAGATTCTAAGTACCCCTCATATTTGCTGTGGGTTGAATCAGGGGACTGCACACTTGGTTGAGTGGGGGTGGGAGACAGTGCTGCTCTAGGTTCTAGAAAACCATCTGGAGTGAGCTTTGAGGGTCTGCTTCACCCGAATCCCCCAGCTGCCTGTGCCCTGAACTGGATGGACAGGATAGAGGAACGGTCCCTGCTGGCCTGGAACTGTTGTGCTCTGTATCTGTGGGTGTAGCCAGGCCAGATATCCTGAGTCTCCAGGGTGACCAACCATCCTTATTCCCAGACAGTTCCCAGAACGTGGAACTTTCTGTTTTAAAATCCACAAGAAGTCCTGGGCAAACTGCAATGAGTCCACCACCCTATCTTACTGTTGATTCCTTGTCTCATCCATCCCTGGATTCCAGCGGATTCTCCTAAATCATCCATCTCAGACTGGGGAATAGCAGGGTGGTAAGAAAGTCCCGAAGAGCCCTGGAGGCACAGTGGTTAAAGTGCTCAGCTGCTAACCAAAAGGTCAGAGGTTCAAACTCAAACAGCTGCTCCAAGGGAGAAAGATGTAGCAATCTGCTTCCCTGAAGATTTACAACCTTGGAAACTCTATGGGGCAATTCTACTCTGTCCATAGGGTCATAGAATCCAAATCAACTCCACTGGAATGGATTTGGCAATGGGTAAGAAAGTCCCTTCCCTTTTCCCATGACCACTTGCAAGGGATTGAAATTGTGTGACACCTTTAGGAATGTAAAAGGGGAAGAGAGTCAGGACTGGGACTGTTCAAGTGAGAACATGGTTGAACGGGTCAAGGTTTCACTCCACCTCCATGGTCACATTGCTGGTAATCAACAGCTATTGTTTTCCCAACTTTTGTGTTTTAGCCAAGGAGTCATGTCCCCTAAATGTCATTAACTATGCAGAAGAGGAGAGATCTTGGGTACTTTTCTCTGGTCCTCAAATGTTCACATCAAGAGTGTCATTTTGGAGAGAATTTAGAGAAGCTGCAGTCAGCAATCTATTTGGGAGAAACAGAGTGGAACTTGTCTTGTTGGGAGGGCTCCAAATTATATAAGTTTTAGGCCAGAAAACCTGGGTTGGCCCTCAAGAGGAGGCTGCTCACACAACTAGCAAACAGCCTCCCCGCCCAGAACGCCCTGCTCCTCAGCACACTTCAGGCTGCTGCTTTAGCTGCCAACCTCATCCCTCTAAATCCCACCCTAACTGCCCAGTCTGCAGGGGATGGGACCCAGGCAATTGCTTGGATTTGCCTGGATTCCTAAAAGGGCTTTGCTGAGATCTTGTCTAGAATTTTGCCTGCATTACTTTTTACTTTCACAGTACCTTGTGAAGCAGAGAGGAAAGCAAAAGCAAATTAAACCATTTAATCCAGAACTGAAAAGAGGTTAGAATTTCACCTCCAGGAAATTGTTCCAGGTGGAGATGAAAGGACTGTACAATATAATTTGCTTCACTAAAACTCTCCCTCACTTCTTGGTTATCTCATGGCATGTCAGCACTTATGGCCTTCATCTTGAATATCTGTCTATGTGTCTATTAAGGTAAATTCTTATTAGCATTTGTTGCATGTTAACTGGGTGCCAGGCACTGTGCTTGACATTTTACATGAACAATCTCATTTAATTCTCTCCAAATTCTACACCAAACCAAAACCCATTTCCATTGAATTGATTCCAACTCATAGTGACCCCCATTGGGTTTCCAAGGCAGTAAATCTTTACAGAAGTAGATTGTCCAGTCTTCCTTCCATGGAATGGCTGGTGGGTTTGAACTTCTGATCTTTTGGTTAGGAACAGAGCACTCTATAAACTGTGCCACCACAGCTCCTATGTAGGGAATAAAACCAAACCAAACGCATTGCCATCACATCCTATTCCAACTCACAGCAACCAGATAGGACAGAGTAGAACTGCCCCACAGGGTTTCCAAGGCTGCAATCTTTACAGAAGCAAACTGCCACATCTTTCTCCAGTGGAGCAGCCGGTGGGTTTGAACTACCCACCTTTCAGCTGGCAATCAAGGGCTTAACCACTGTGCCACTAGGGCTCCTTAAGTATGGGATACTCTTGGTGAATTGTGTGAGTCATTCAGAGAATAGTCAAACTCAAAGGAGCTGGGGGAGCTAGCCAGTCTGATTCGGAGGGAATCATGTAGACTCCCCAGCTTGCAGCTGGTATCCTGGAAGAGTAGAGGAAAACTGAATTGGGAGCCAGCTGGTCTGAAGTGGAGAAAGTGATGTGGACTCCTGAGTTAATAAATGGCTGGCACCTGCTGACCTAGCCCCAGGTGGCTGCATATGACAGGGAGAAGAGCTGCATGGGCAGCTGGGGTCTAAACTGAATAGGAAAGCAAAGCTGAGATTTCCATTAGATGCAACTGGTGTAGGGAGTGAGGTTTTTTATCCACCACACAATTTGGCATCAGAGGTGGGTGATCTCAGTCTCCCTGGACTGGTTTGCACACATACATACATGAAAAGATTTCATATGCCTATGTCTTGCCACCTAATCTAGAGTGCAAATATTTGGGGGCACAGACAGTGTTTAATATTTCTCTAGCATCTCCAAATATTATAGACAGCATGCTAAAGATTTTATAGATTAAAAACAAAAACAAAAACACTGAGTCTCAGAGGAGTTGAGATTTGCATGAGGCCACACAAGAAGTTAATTAAAAAGTACTAGATCTGGGATGGATTCTCTGGAGATCCAACAGCAATGGGGCTATAGGCTTGGCTAGCAGTAGCTCAGGCTATCAGATTAATGAATTAGTGGAAGAATTAATAGAATTAAAGACTATCAGCAGAAGTCTTTAATGCATGTCAGCGGTAACTCCATGAATTAGCTGGTTTAAGATCATCACACTCAGATCTGGCAACAAAAGATGTTGATTGCACTTCTAAGTGGTATGAGTTTAAAGGTTTGGTTCACTCTGTCTCAAATCAATAGCCAGGAGGATCCTACTGACCTTTTGCCATCAACTTCCCCCCTCTTGACCCCTTTTCTCTTGTTGAGGGAATTCTAGGATGGTATTAACTACCTCTTCAAAAGGAATGAAAGGAAAACAAAACACAGAAATGTCAAAAGGACAGAGCATTTGTGTGTGTGTGTGTGTGTGTGTGTGTGTATTTCACACCAAGCACTTCTTGGAGGAAGGTATTCTGCAACTCAGATTGCTTGTATGCCAGGGGCTTTACAGCAGCAAGTTTGAGGAGGAGAGGGTAAAAATGCAGTAGGAGATAAAGCTTGGGGGTAGGGGAGAGTTTTCATCAGCAGCATGTGAATGGATTGCCCTCCAGGAGCTCACAGGAGGCAGAAACGCAGAGGAGGAAGGCTGTTGGGAAGGGAAGACTAGACTGGGGGCCCTCCCTATCCTTCCCCATCCCAGCCTTGGTGGCATGACCTTGCTACTCACATCTGCCTCGTTCCAGAGCCCTGGGATGCAGAAGGACTCCAGCAGGTCACTGCCACACAGCAGTAAGATCCGCAGCTCTGACAGGAGGGAACAAAGTTTGCAAAGGGAGTTAGTAGAGATCCTGGGAAGCGTTCAACTTTCAGCTGGCTCTTTCTGAAGGCCCCTCTGGATGAACATCCAAATCCCCATTCTTGTGGCTCCAGAGCCCCGTTCTTCTAGGCACCCCAGTACCCACAGTGTATGCAATTCAGAAACCTTCGTGTGGTCCTTCAGGCTCATTTACATACCACTCTCATCCCCTGTGAGAAGAATTACTCATGCAGGAAGCATGGGGCAGGGTGGGTGACCAATTAGCCTAGTTTGTCCAGGACATGGGTCTTTCAGTGCTATATCAGGCTGGTTGTTCACCCCAATAGAGGCTGGCCCAGCTAAGTGTCTTGTCTAAGATCTAAAGGACTCTTGTCATATCAAACACAAGTGTCATAGGGGTTAGGACTCTCTTCTATTGTACATTATCTGGAGTTTGTCTCCCTTCCCAAGAGCTGACACAAAGGCGGGCGCTAGGGAGGACATCGTGTGCACCCATGAGTGGCTGAATTTATCAGATGCAGCCTTTCTCTACATACATGGGCACTGTCTTCAGCAAAGGGCTCGGGCAGCCAGGCTGAGGTAGCCCCTCCCACATACAATTCCTGGCACCCAGGCAGGCTTCCTGCTTGTCAGTTGTTTTCCTTCCTTCATTAAACCCACTCTGAATTATCCCAGTGAGGCCTATTGTCTTTTAAAACAGGCAGCAAACCAACTGGCTCATTAAAACTGAATAATGGGGAAAAGGAATCCTGGGAATCCCAGAATTCTATGGGGAGAGTCTCAGCCTGGGATGTAACCCCCAGGCATTCCAGGCCCATCTGTCCAGAGGCTGTGGCTGTCAGGCATCCTATCAGAAACAAAGCCCTGTTCCAAGTTCAGCACAAGCCCCACAGAGGCCACTGCTATCTGTACCACAGGCTACAAGGCACCTGCTGGTAGGTCTGCCTGCCTTGACGCTCCCTAGCTGGCTCAGGCCCTGATGAGGACTTTGAGATGGTATGCTTGCCCCCACTGCAGAGGGAATCTCTGGTTATCTCTAAGGTGGGTGGAAGGCTGTTATACTGAGGACAGACATTGCCAGCACCTCATCATCCTATGGTCTGGATAGCTGACCCACCTCAGCCCATGGAGCACTGGGATTTTAACTCCTAATATTCCTGCTGTCTCTCCTCTCCTCCCCCTATCATATTATAGTCTAATGATCTGTTTATGTGCAGGACCTTAATTTATCTTTGATCCCCAAGGCATGGCAGAGTGACTGGCACACACAGTGCCACATTCGGGACATGCTAAATGAGTGAATGAATGGGCAAGCTGATGACAGAAGCCAAACAGCTGCCTGAGAGTCTAGGGTAGCTGTCGAGTCCTCTGCTCTTGTGGCCATGGAGGCACCAGGGTAAATTCTTGCCTGAGTTGGTGACACCTTCCCCAACTCCAAGGGATTGTTAGGCATGGAGCTGCTGGCCCAAATCCTCACCTATGGGAGATGGTCTCAGACCTGGCAAGGCTGAGAGGAGCAGAAGGAGCTCATTCCTAAGATCCTATCCGTCCCCACTCCCTGCCTCGGAGCCATCTAGAGATCCAGGTTGGTTCCCTGCTGCAAGGCTGAGGATCTGTACCTCTGGTCTCCTAAAAATGCAGTTGGGTGGCCATGTCCAGAGGACCGCCTTGTCCTCAGTTTCCTCTACATCAGTGGTTCTCAATGGGGGGCAATTTTGGCCTCCAGGGGACATTTGGCAACATTTAGAGACATTTTTGATTGTCACAACTAGGGTGGGGAAACTACTGACATCTAGTGGGTAGTGTCCAGGGATACTGCTAACCATTCTATAGTGCACACGACTAGTCCCCACAGCGAAGAATTATTCAGACCCAAAGGTGCATATTGCTGAGGTTGGGAAATCCTGCTCCATAGCCATGAAAAAGATTCTCTTTTCTATTCCCAAGCCATGTATGTACTTGTCTACCCAAGTGTAGTGAAGGAAATTTTGTTTTAAGCCAAAGCACAGAAAGTTAAATTGTGGGGTCTTGTGAGACCCCAACAAATGTGCTTGCCATAGATAGGGAGCTGGCCTGGTGTGAGATCCCTCCTGAGGCCGCTGGAGGGCAGCAGTGTTTGCTCCCGGTTTATTGTATGAGCCTAACTAACGTTTCAAGCCCTCAACCTTCAGTCTGGCGCAGCCCCCGAGGAGCAGTTACCCGATTAGGAACATCAAAATGGGGCCATGGATGCTAAATGAGCCAGGGGAAAACGGCTTTTTCTTTCTCGAGAAGTATGCAAGGAAATTTCAAAATGGGAACGAGAGCTGCGAGGCCTCCCAGAGCTCAGTGACCTGGAGGCTGGGCAGCTTCCTCCAACGCCTCGGGGGCGCACCCTGCTTCATTCCCCAGTTCACCCTCCATCCAGGGTGGGCAGGCCTAGTTCTGTGCTCACCCAGCACACTCCCCTCCCAGGAATCCTGGCTATGTGAATGAAGCCCAGGCCCTGAGGCCCATTTCAGCTCCCAGGGCACACAGAGGCAGCTCACAGGCCACAAAAGTGTCCTGAGAACGGAAGCCACCGCGCTTTTCCTTTCTCCCAGCCTACACCTGCTCCAATCCCCTACTACCACTGTTCTTTCCTGTCTCCAACACTCTAGTGGGCTTCTTCTCTCAGTGAACAGAATGGATGAGGTGTGGGACAGACAGAGCCTCAGTCAAAGCCACAAATGAGAGAGGTCACTCCCAACTCCCATTTTCCATCACCCCACAATGGGGAAGGAAGCTAAGTAAAATGGATCTAAGACTACATACCCCTCACAAGCACTGGCGTGGTGCAAATGATTAATGCACATGGCTGCTAAATGAAAGGTGAGAGGTTCAAGTTCACACAGTGGCAACCCAGAAGAAACACCTGGCTATCTACTTAAAAAAAAAAAAAAAATCAGTCATCAAAAACCTTACAAGGCACATTTCTACTCTGACACACATGGCATCGCCATGAATCAGAGTGGACTCCACAGCAACTAATTGTGTTTTGTTTTTAAACCACTCACAAAGCTGTGGTGAAATGACGTAAGTGAAAGTACTGTGCACTGTCCACATGTGGATCAGCATTGCCCTGTCTGTAGGAGGGGATACTCCCTCAGTTGGCACAGGGGATGCCCTAACACTCCGGCCCTGACTGCTAGGAAGACAAATAAGGTCATATAGCCACAATAAATTCTCTCTGGAACAAGGAGAGAGAGAGAGAGAGAGAGAAGTGTACACCGGGGTACAATTTACAAGTGTAAAGACTGCTCTGAGCTCTGCGGTTAAGAAGACTGCCAGGGCATAGAGGTTCCTGGCCAGGTGTAGAAACTGCAGGGAAATGCGCATGCAGGGCTCCTACTGAGGCCCTGGCAGTTCTACTCTGTCTTAGAGGGTCACTATGAGTTGGAATCCACTCATCAGCAGTGGGTTTTGGGAAACTTACCCAAATCAAACCCACTATCATCAAGTTGATTCCAAATCATAGCAACCCCATAAGACAGAGCAGAATTGCCCCACAGGATTTCTAAGGCTGTCAATCTTTACAGAAGCAGACTGCCTCATCTTTCTCCCAAGGAATGGGTGATGGGTTCAAACTACAGACCTTTTAAGCTAAGTGCTTTAACCACTGCACCACCAAAGCTCCTTAATACTAACTTTTGCCAGAAGTGGATTTGAACCCATGCCTCCAAGGGAGACTGTGACCTGAACACAGCACCTTAGACCACTGGCCATCCTGACACATTGGGTAAGATTAGGTTATCTGATTTTTAGAAAGGTGGTATGTAACAAGTGACTCACAATATTCCTGAAAACTTTACAGTGGGTTCTGGTGAACTGGTGTGAGCTGACTCGAGCTTCCTGCTGAGCCTCAGGGCAGAGGAGGATGCCCAGAGCATCCCCCGGACACTGCACATCATGCCCGCTGGGCCCCCTGGCAAGCCTGATGCTCAGAAGCAACCCCACATCTTCCCAAGCACATGGCAGGAGGCTCTGACCTCCAGTCCTTAGAAGACAGGAACACAAGGAGGGGACCCCTGCAGTATCTTTATTATTACTGTGACCTGGGTGAAAGTTTACAGAGCCAATTCATTTTCCATACAGCAGTTCATACACATTTTGTTTCATGACACTGACTGCAATTCCCCATAATGTAACCCTTGTCCCATTTCCTCCCTGTAGTTACCTCTTCCCTGTGTCCTTCTTTCCTATGTAGTATTGCCCCCTGAGCTGTCTCCCTGTGCAAATACTGCTCTTCGGTTCTCCCACAATTGATCGTTCTAAGGCGTGTGTGTACCTGATGTAAATGTTCACCCTATATACTTGTCTATTGTTTGGGTGGAAGCCAAGGGGTGAGTTCAATTCCAGACCTGAAGCGTAACGAGGCGCCATAGTCTCGGGGCTTTCACCAGGCTCTATCAGACCAGTAAGCCTGGTTTTGTTTTTTTTCTTTTTGATTTTGAGTTTTGTTCCATTTGTTCTCCCACTCTATCCAGGATTTCCTGGGGGACCCCTGGAATATCTTTTCAGCTGGAAGTGGAAGATTGAGGATGTTTACCAGACACTAGGCTGCCTCTCATCTTAGAGAACCCAGCATTCCCGTTGTCACACACCTTCCTTATCACCTGGTACCTATGTCAACCCCAGCCCTCAACACCATTCTGGCATCTGTCTGTCCTTTCTGAGCTCAGACACTTGTGTCTTCCATTTTCCACCTCTTCTGGACCCTTAGAAAGATTTCAGTTTTCTGAGTTGCCTAGAACGTAGCATATGTACATGAGCCAGTTGGCTCTTTCCCCTCCTGACCACTCTGTGTGACTGAAATGGAGTGCTATTTCCCCCACCCTGGTACCTGGATGGGGATTGGTAGACTGAATTACCCCCAACAATTTTCCCCACCCTGGTTAAAAGAGATAATTAGATAAGACCCCACCGGGGAATAAGTAAACTGGATTATCCCCAGCTATTTTCCCACCGGGGCAGATGGAGTATTCAGTTCCTTAAACAACTGAATGGAAAATATTCCTTCCTGCAGATGATAGACTGTGCTAAAAGTATTTTAGAAATAACTTGTAAATTAACTCCGGCCAGGGACAATAGAAATGTTTTAGAAACAACTTGTAAATGAACTCTGGCCCAAAGACATAAGGGAACAAAAGTTAATTGCTGACCCTCTCTCCTCTACCCAAGCCCCTATCAGCTGATAAGAAGAAACTAGTGACTCATCCATCACCCATTTCACTTTCAAGCCCCAAATTCCTCAACCTTTTCTGAATATGCACAACTCCCTCTCCTGAAACCTACAAAAACTGTGTTTCAATGGCATCTCCGGGAGTTAAGATCTGGATACTAACTACCCCTAACTCCTTGCACTGCTGCTTTGCAATAAATAATTTTCTCTCCTCTCAATCTCAGTGTGTAAACTGTTTTGGCCTGACCGTGCACAGGGCAGGGACTTGCATTTGGTCCAGTAACATGACCACCCGGCAGCTCGCACTGGCCTGCTCCAGCCTTGGGCTGATTCCAGCCCTGACACCAACCATGGAATGGCTCAGCCTCAGCCAGCGCTGCACTGGAGGTCATGGAGGAGGCATTCTCTCAGCCCTCCTCTCTCCTCCTCTACCTTCAAGCCCTGAAAGCCTCTGATAAGAAAGGCAGAGCAGTGCCACCGACTCCTGTGCAGTGTCTGTGGGTGAAAGAAGAGGCTCTGACTGGCACTGAAACTCAGCTTTCACGTCTTTTAGATGAGGGAGAGGAGGCTCTGAAGGGAAACTTGCCAACAGATTCAGTCCTATCTCCTGGGAACTGGATTAAGGCCAATTGGGAGATGTTAAAGGGGAGATGCCCAAGAATATAATCTTAGCTTGGGAAAAATTCTTCTGAGATTAGACCCTGCTGCAAACACAACTCAGTATTTCTAAGCCTCTCCCTCTCCCTCTTGGGTGGAAACAGGCAGCTGCAAATGGTGCCCAGCTCTCCCAGCCCCACTCACCGATCTCCTCGTACCGCATCACTGTGCCCAGGTTGGCGTTCTCATCTAGGAAGGAGAGAGGGGACACAGCAGCATTAGGAACCAGCTTTCTCATCCTAGTACAGTAACCCAGTATGTGGTCAGCCTGAGGGCATCCTTTACAGGAGTGCGCAGGATGGGTGGAGTGGGTGGGAGTTGAGCTTACCTTCCCACAGGGTGTCTGAGTAAAGTGAATTAAAAAAAAAAAAAAAATCGCCATCTAGTTGATTCCAGCTCATAGCAACCCCCTGAGAGTTTCCAAGGCTGTAAATCTTCACAGAAGCCGACTGCTTCATCTTTCTTCCATGGAGCAGGTGTTGGATTCAAATCACCAACCTTTCGTTAGCAGCCAAAAATGCCTTACTGCAGCACCACCAGAGCTCCAAGTAGAGTGAATAACCCAAACCAAACCCACTGCCATTGAGTCAATTCTGACTCATAGTGACCCCCATTGGGTTTCTGAGGTGGTAAATCTTTACCTAACTAGATTGCCCAATCTTCTTTCTGTGGAGTGACTGGTGGGTTTGAACCACCAACCTTCTGGTTAGTAGTAAGATGTCTTAGGCACTGTGCCACCAATAGGGAGCATAAAATGGAGAGACAGTTGATGCCCCACACTCAAGGGGCAAGACTATTTCACATTTCTGGGACTTTCAGGACTAAAGAAGCTTGATGGGGAGCTAATGGTGTACCTACCCCCCCCCCACTCCCCCACACATAGGTATTCATGGAAGTGTCCTCTCTTTCTGTATCGTAAGGAGATAAGATGATTGATAAGATGCTTCTCAGGGTTGCCTAGGACTTAGCTTACATGCACAGGTCAGCCTGCTCCTTTCCCTCCTGACAACCCTCAAAACCTAGGGTGACAGCTTTCAGAGTCACAAAGTGGCCCTCTCTCCTCAGGAGTGACCTGGCTTACAGGACAAGCAGAGCTGAGGATACTGTGATTGTTCACATGGGGGTATGCAGCAGGAACCACAGGAAGATGTGACAGAGGCTTTAGGTGTGCTCTCACATGACTAATGCCTTTGGGGGTAGGCAGGTACACCAGGATGTGCGCACACAAAACCATAGAGATGCTCTCTTGGTCCCAGGCCTGCCTTCCTCCTCGAGCATCCTTTCAGTTCCTCTTCAAGATTCCTGAAATTGGAGATCTCAGAAATGGCAAAAAACAGCCCCCAAAGAATTACAGGAATGAGATGCAGGTCTACAGCTCTTTTTTGGAGTTAACTTTGGCCTTTGCAAGGAGAAAGAGCCCCAGGGACTCTGATATCCTCAGCCATATTGGGTCCTTGGGGAGCAGTGGAGCAGAGGGAATGAAGGAAAGAGCTTGTGGGGGACTTAGCCTCTCTGCAGAAGCACAGATGCTCTCAGAGCTGGCAGGGCCTCAGGGAGGACTCTGGGCCCCACTGAGACTGGTGGTGGGGGGTGAGCACTGCCTCAAGGAGGGGAGAGGACTCCCAGGCAGCCCCATGCCCTCTAGACTCCCACCCCGGCTTGGCACTGCCGGTCTGTTGACATTCCTGTGTCCTCTGGCCTCTCTCCATTATTGCTCTATAAATAGTCATCTCACAACAGGTACTTCGGGGGTATTTACTAAATGAATGCAGGAAGGAGGAAAAGGAAAAAGAATTGAGAAATAAAATGCATGCTCACTTACCCACGAAGGTGAAGCGTTCTACCGGTGGGCGGACACAGCAGATCCGGCTTAGGCTCTCGCCCACCTTCCCCAAGATTTTGGCTGTGGGAGAGAATGGAGAGTGAGACAGACAGAGACAGAGGGAGAGGACCACTCACAACTTACTCTCGTGCCGCCCAGCATTAAGGTTGCTTTAAAACAACGGGGCAGCCCTGGAGGGGCAGGGGTTGGCTAGTGGAAGGCAGAAGAGGGTCAAGTGAAAGAATGGAAAAATGACTGCAAAAATTCCTTTTTCGCATTCGCAGTCCAAGGCGTAAGTGTCTTGAGCCATAGACTGGAATCTATTTTCTGGTTATGTTTATTATATTGTAGAAAAATGAGGAACAATACAAAAGTATAAAGTAGAAAATAAGAAACATCCATAGCCCCACTCTTAGAGATAACCACTGCTAACGTATAGATAGGATCTCTGGTAGTGTAGTGCTTAAGGCACTTGACTGCTAACCAGAAGGCTGGCGGTTCAAACCCACCAGCCATTCCTCAGAAGGAAGGTTGGGCAATCTACTTCCATAGTGATACCGCCTCAGAAACCCAAAGAGAGGTCGCTATGAGTCGGGTCCGACTTGATGGCAAATAACAACAACAACAACGTATAGATAGGTATATTATTTCTCTTCTTCCTTTCCTTTTTTGATGTGTATTTTGTCGGTATGTCTACATAACATAAATTGGATCATATCATTCTATATTTAAAGGGCATGCATCCCTGGTTGCTTTTTTTCCTTTTTGTATCATAAGCATTTCCCCCTGGGTTTGGCCTAACTCCGTCCTCAGTCACTCCCACCACTGAACAGTAATACCCAGATCCCAGGAGACTCAGCCTGTGGCAAAGTACACGCTTGGAAAATTTTCTGCTGGGCTAAAGCATTCTTCCCCATGCAGATGGTCTTTAGAATAATCAGGCATCCTATTTTGGCTGAGAGGGATCCAGTTTTCAATTATCTCTCTGGGCTCAATCCAGAAAATGTTTCCCCATGTGCAGCTGTGTGCAAACTGAAATTCTGAAACTTCTTTGTAAATTTTCCTGTTTATAATCAATCATATAATAACTGATGGTCTATGCTTGAAAAGTAGCATTCCTTCTGCTGGGATTTGTCTCTTGGAATTGGCCTGGAAAAACATGTTAGAAAGAACCTTGGATTTTGGAGTCAGACGGTCCTTGATATGAATTCTGGCTCTTCTACTTTTGAGCTGTGTGACCTTAGACAAATCACTTACCTTCTCTGAATTTCTAATTGTAAATGGAAACATAAAGTCTGTTAGGCAGAAGCATGGCTGGCCAGGTGGGTGAATGAGCCGGAGGGAATTATAAGAACTGGTCAAGCAATGAGGCGCCTGACCAGAGCCCATACCAAACCCCAGCACGTAACTCTTGCTTATGAAAGACCCCAGCACGTAACCCTTGCTTACGAAAGACCCCAGCACCTGACTCTTACTCACGAAAGCCCCCAACCATTTCCTGCCCACTATGTTAATGAAGTGCTTCAACTCTGCTTCCTACCCCCATGCTAATAGGGTACTTTAACCTTATTGGTCCCTGTAACACATACCCTGCTCTCACTCCGGTCCTCTAAGAACCAGGAAGAAAATCACTCTAAAAAACCCTTTCTTTCATCTGGGCAGCGCGACTTCTCTGGCCCCTCTCAGGGACCTGTAAACCTCTCCTGGGAGCGCAGAATAAAAACTTCTCTTTAACCCCACTTTTGTGCGTCCTCTTCTCCTTACTGCGACCTTACAAAGTCTACATCATAGAATTACTGTATTAAGTGAGAACGCTTCAGCACTGAGTACCATATGGGCACTACAGTACGACAAAAAAAAAAAAAAAGAAAAAGAAATCCATTGCCATCTAGTTGATTCTAACTCATAGCAACCCACATTGGGTTTCCAAGGTAGGAAATCTTTACAGAAGTAGATTGCCTCATCTTCCCTTTGTGGAGAAGTTGTTGGGTTAGAACAACTGGTTTAGTCAAATGCCTTAGGCACTGTACCACCAGAGCTCCTTTTTACAGTACTTGTTGTTGTTGTTATGTGCCGTCCAGTCGGACCCGACTCATAGCGACCCCTCCTTGGGTTTCCGAGGCAGTATCACTATGGAAGTAGACTGCACTATCTTCCTTCCGAGCAGTGGCTAGTGGGTTGAACCACCAGCCTTCTGTTTAGCAGTCAAGTGTCTTAGCCACTATGCTACCAGAGCTCCTTATTATAGTACTAGGTGTTCTATAAGTGTTGGTGGCCCCTGCTTTCTGTCACTGGGGGCTCTAGAAACAAACTGCCTGAGTTTGACTCCTGACCCAGCCACTTCTGGGCTGTGTGCCATTGGATAAACTCTTTACCTCCTTGGTAGAGGTAGAGAAAAATACTCCCTTTTGTACTTACAATTCCCAGTGAAGCCAATTATATTGCTACTGAAATGCAGAAGAATATGAACCACCATTCCTGTATCTTTCTTCCTCTGTGTCTTCCTTTCCTTCTCCTTCCTTCTTTTCCTCCCTCTCCCATCCTCCTGTTCCTCTGTCTCCCCCTCCCTCTCTCGTATGACTATTCCTCTCTGAAACTCTCTATCAAGTGTTCTCAAAGTGTGTGTGGTCCCCAGACCATTGGCGTTTGGTGGCAGCAGCAGCAGCAGCAGCAGCAGCAGCAGCAGCAGCAGCATCACCTTGCTATAAATGCAAATTTTACCCCACCCCCATCCCTAGTGAATCAAATTCTGGGGGTAGGGCCCAACAATCTGCATTTTATCAAGCCCTCCAGGTGATTTTCATGCACACTGGGTTCTACACATGTTCCCCTACCTGCAGTGGGCTTGGCAGGCACATTGTTGTTCTGGTAAATGGGCTGGGGGGTTTCATGCTGGGGCTGTCCGATCACAGGTGTCATGGAAGGTGTGTTGACATTGGAGAGGATGCAGCCAGTCACCCGCTAGGAAAAGGGAGAAGTTCAGAGTCAGTGTGTTAGCCAAGTGACATAAGGAAAGTCTCTCTTAGTTATTTCCAAATGCTTATCTGCTTGTCCATCGTGGTGAGGTCAGCTAAAGCTGAGGAAATGCACTGGGGGTAGATGTTAGACCAGCTCCATCATGTGGTCACTAGGCTAGCAAGAGGCAGGGTCATTCCATGGGAAAAGTGTGGGCTATGGTGTCATGCAGATCTGGGCCCAAATTCTAGTTCTGCCCCCTCTGGCTTTGTGACCTTGGACAGTTACTTAAACCTCTGTTGAAGCTGCCTTTCTGGGTGTGGGTAGATGTCATGAGTAAGCCAGTGCAAAGTGCCTATCAGAAGGACTGGCAAACGGCAGCAACTTAGTTGTAACCTTCTGTGGTCATGAATACCTGCCCTCCCTGCCTCCTTCAGAGGCCGCATATGAGATAGTGTCTGTGAAAGGGTTCTGTGAGTTTGGGGAAGGTCATGTAAACATCACCACCTATAGCCTCTCAAGTGCAAAGCTGACTTGGCAAGAGAGCGAGTGCCAGGCACAGCAGCACACTGTGTCTTGGGGGGGGGGGTGGTGTGTGTGTATGCCTGAGATTCCTGAGTCCCGCTCCAGAGTGAAGGCACATTCCAGGGCCAAACAGGGAAATTCTATATGCATTATCCATTGTCCTGTGTTATCTGGCCCGCTGCTGAGAACACAGCATTCTTCACAGCTGACCCAGAACCAACCCACACTTGCTCTCAGTGAGTGGGAGAGTAGCTACTGGACCACAGAGAAACAGAGGACAAATGTTCAATCTGTTTGGCTTCACAAGGGCCATTGCTCTTTCAAGGTCCCTTCCCAGAGAGCCAGCCTCTCTGGAGTAATGGGACCCACCACTCATCCCTGCTCACCACCCATTCTGGATTGTGGAGCTCTGCTGCCACAGGACCCCATGCCCCAGAGCTGGGTTGACCCTCTAAAGAGCCCACAGACCATCTTGCAGGCAGAGGAGTATGTGTGCCTGGGAAGAGCAGGCTTCATGGGGTAACCTGTCACTTCAGTACTACTCCTGGCAGGAGGGGAACATAGCAGCATCCAATCAGATCTGGGAGCCAGCTGAGCCGGGCACCATAGAATCAGCCCACTTCATTGGCTTCTCTGCCCACCTGCAGTTGGTGGGGAGGAAGGGGCAGTCTGCTTCTTTCTTATTATCATTTCACCTCCAGAAAAAAAACATGCCACACTCCCATCTAATAGCTGGTTTGGTAGTAGAGGAATTTCTTCCTTCCAACTACTTTCCTCTTGACACATCATTAGTACCATTTGACTTGTTTTACCTGCGAGAAGAAAATAGCTGGCCATATGCCTGCTTCTGCCCTCATCAGCCCTCCATGTGCTTTCATGTTCTCAGAGGGCTTTCCAAACATAGCCCTGAGTCACCTACTAGGCCACATGTCTATCTCTCCAGTCCTGCTCTCAGTGCCAGGAGACCTGGGCTGACATAAGGAGTGGGGAGGCCAGGAGCTATTAAGAGTCAGCTCCAAACCCTCACACCAAGGCAAGGGGCCATTGTGACCTACATTCTCCCACAGCCTCTGCCTGTCACAGCAGCAGCTGCATTTCCTGACCAAGCTTCTCATGCCTCCTGAGTGACAGAAGGAGGGCCCAGGAAGCCCAGGCATTTGGAGAGCCAGTTGCCAACTTGCTGTCGAGCTGACTCTGACTCATGGTGAACATATGTGCGTTAGAGTAGAACTGTGCTCCACAATGTTTTCAATGGCTGATTTTTCAGACGTAGATCACCAGGCTTTTCTTCTCTGGCTGGACTTGAACTTCCAACCTTTCAGTTAGCAGGCAAGCATGTTAATTGTACCACTGTGATGTTATGCCTGGTACATCCAGGGCTTGGACATGCCTGGATGGTCCATGGCTTCTGCTTTCCATCTTGGAGCTGAAGGCAGGTGTGGCAGCTCCCAGGTTGAGCTGAGACACCAGAGTTTGATCTCTCCTGTTCTAACTCTTCTCTTTTTCACACAAACAGATCTCATGACCATTTTGTTTCTCATCTCCTTCCTATTCAAGAGGCCCCGCCCTACTTCTGCCATATTAGATTACAGTCCTACCTGGGGACAAACTACAGTGTGGAGTCCAAGCTCTTTCCCCTAACTGAGCTCATGCTTTTCTGCCTTTCTTCTTATCTTCACTATCTACAGACCTGCTCTCTTAATTAGTCTCCCAAGATAATTGTGGCCCTGGAAGGATGTCCGGAAGAGGAATTTGTGTGGTAGCCTAGCTATCAAGTCAGAGAGGGAGAATATTTGGTTAGTGGACTTAAAAGGCCTGTGTTTGCCATGTTACCTAAGCTTGGGCAAAGGGACAGTGAGTGCACGCACACGTGCACATGTGTGTGTGTGTGTGTGCTCATGCGCACAAATCACTGAACCAATCCAGAGACCCCTTCTGCTTGCAGGAGGGAAAGGGGAAGAGGTTGGCACATGGTGAAGGTCTCTCCCATAGCCTTTCAACAAATGTCCATCAGAACCCAGAAAGAGTAAAGGAAGAAGACTGGGTCATATGTTGGAACAGATCCAAGACATGGAATTGAAAGACTTCAGTGAACCAGCTGAATGAGGTTAGACAACTCACTTAACCTCTCTGAGTCTATGTCTTCATTCTGCAAAACAGTGACAACAGCTCCGTCCTGTATCACAAGTGGCTAAACATGCTATGCAAACTCTAAGATCCTATGTAGTAGTCATTAATGCTGCTCACCTATATTGCTAGCTCACGGGTACATGGTAGGATTGCACTTCTCCATCCACTTTGAAGTATGGTCATGGGACTTGCTTTGGCCAACAAACATGAATAGAAGTAGCATGAACGACTTGCAGGCAGAAACTTGAAATGCCAATTCATGCTTCGCCACGGTCTCTTTCCCCTGCCACGATGGCCAGGGAAACAGATGTCATGAAGAATCATCAGTAGAGGAGTACTGTTCCCCCGATGATTCCCAGATGCCATGCAGTTTGAAAAATAAGCTTGTTTTAAGCCACTCAGATGTTGAGTTTGTTACCACAGCCTATCTTAGCCTATCCTGACTGATATTCAGCTTTATATAGCAAGATGGGAGTTCTACTATTACTGCTGTTGTTGAGGTCAGCACAGAGAGCAAGTCAGTGCCACTACATGTTAGAGTCTTTTCAACTAGTAACCAGTTGGCATGGTCTCCCCATGTGCGCAGAGCAGAACTGCTCCATAAGGTCTTCAATGTCTGTGTCCATTCAGAAGCAGATCACCAGGTCTTTCTTCCAAGGTGCCTCTGGATGGGTTCGAACTGCCAACCTTTCAGTTGGCAGATGACTGCTTAACAGTTTATGCCACCCAGGGAAACCCTAGAGTCCTTTCAAGGAGACCAGAAAAGACTCTGGATGTGTGTGAAGTGTTCTGAAAGCAGAAGGAAGGGAAACCAGCTTTCTTGGCTTCCATGGGTAAAGGAATTCAATTGATTAAGCAACAGCTGGCTGGTCCTGCCTTTCTCTCTTGTTTTATGCCCAGGATGGTCTGGAGACCTCAATCTCCATGTCAATTAAAATAAAGAACTACTGCTTGGTTGTTGGAGTGTGGGGTGGTCAAGGGCTGCTCGTAGCTCCCCAAGATGTTTCTGACAGGTCCTCAGTTGGCAAGAACTCAGATGGAACAGGGCTCACCCTGCGTCAGAATAACACCAGTTTGATTATTATTTAGGGTTGGGAGAGGGCTCTGCACCAGGTCAGTGGAGGAGAAGGATTTATTGTTTCTTGTGTTGGTTGTCAGGCTTCTTGCTATCACTGCTTTCCACCTTATCCCTGTGGTTGTCGATGGGTTGGTATTGATCTGTGTTGAGTGTTCTCTTTAGACTCTAACCAGTGCTACTGGCTGTGTGGAGCCCCTTCAACCCTGGCAACCAGCAGTCAGTCTCTGCTGCCAAGACGCAACCCCCAGGCCCTGGACAGAAACACAGAGGCAGTTGGGAGTTCTCACCTAATATGTTCACTACACATTCACTGCTTGGGTAAGTTGGCCCAACTCTCCATGCTTCCTTTCCCCATTAATAAAACAGAGGTCAGCATATCATGTGCCTTCAAGGCTAATAATGTGGGAGGAATGAGTGGGAATGACCATCCATGGCTGACAGGTATGAGTGCTTCAGTAGCAGTATCCTCATGCCAGAGTAAGGGGACTTGTTGGCCCCGTAACAGGTAGAATGGCCAGGTTGCTTGTACCTCTCCTCTCTTCTATTTTTCCTTGCCCGGTCTCTTCCTTTCTTTACTTTCTGGAAACCTAAGACTGTGATCTTCTTTATCCTACCTTGAACTTGCTACCAAAAGATAAAAGCTGCCCCGGGTCATATCCAGCAGCAACACACCAACAGGGAGGCCACGTTAGAGGAGAAAGGCTCTGGTGCTACTCCAGGTTCCTAATTCACTGCCTTCCTCAGTGCTGCTCATGGGCTGGTCTCCCTCAGCTGGCTGAGAAATAGGAAACTGAAACCAGATCAGTAGGCCAGCAGCCTTCTTTCCAGGCCTGGCCTGGCTCTGCAGGCGAGCCAGCCCCTTCACCCCAGTGGTCCACTCACCCCTCAGCCACAGCCCTGCTCACCTTCATGAGGTCCCGATGATGTTCCAACACACTGCAGGTTGTCTGCCAGGTGTCCTGATAGCACTCCCATGGGTCTACCCTGAACATAAACAGAAAGAAGTATCCCTTGGTGCCCATCCTCACACACTCTTCCCTTACCAAGACCTGCTTATACAGGGTGCTTAGATCTTGACTCAGACAAAACGTATATAAAATGAGAGCAGTAGGGTTTAGGCTTGTGAGACTGGACACAGGCATCTGTCTGGGTTTAATCCCAGGCCCAGGACATTCCAGCTGTGTGACTTTGGGAAAGTAAATGTGATCACTCAGTACCTCAGTTTCCCAATCTACAAAATGGGAATCACAACAGTAACTACCTTATAGGATTAGTAGAAAGGATCAATTAGTTTTATACGCAAAATGCATAATACAGGGTCCTGGTCTTATTCTTACCTGCAAACGGGAATTCTGCTCTGGACCTTAACGGATTGTGATAAGGTTAAAGGAGTCAGGCCCTCATTAAGTGGTGGCTGCATTTTACTTCCCAGACTGTAAGCATCGGGGACTCAGCCCCTGTTGGCCTTCCTGTGCAGCAGGGTGTCTTGTGGGCATGGAGTGGGAGTGTGGCGGTTAGATGGGAAGGTAAGACCAGCCAAGCCCTCCTGCACACTACACTGTGTTGTGAAGTGAACACAATCCAGCCCCAGACTCATCCAGCACTCAAGCTTATTTGCCAACTTAATGAGCTGCTAAATTGGGAGACTTCTCATTTTCTTGGCAATTGAGCATTCCCTGCCCATCCCGAAGGAAGATACACCTAAGGCGCCCAGAGATAAGATCTCACCAATTGAAAACCCTTAGAGAGCCAGCTTACCCTGAGCCTGATGCCCTCGACCCCCGACACCCCCTCCCCAGCCCGAAACACACACATGTGCCTGGAGATGGGCAGACCCCTGACCAGGCTAAGTAGGGCTCCCCAAGACCATGTTCAGCTCACATCTCTAGAGCTCTGAATCTCCCTAGTGATCTCAGTCTGCAGGAGGCACTCAGTAAATGTTTGCTGAATGGATGAGGGAATTACTACAGATTCATCTATGCAGTCACAGCCTCCTGCCCAGTGTCTTCCCTGTGGGACTGATTTTCCCCAGTAGCCCACAAGTGACAAAGTTGAGAGGCCTCATTTCTAATCCTGACCTGGCCACAGATAGATGTACCACCATTCATTCTCATGTTCATTGACTTCTCTGGGCCTGTTTCTCAGCTGAGAAGGGCAAGCATCTCTCTACCTAACCTGTATCTGGGGGAGATGAGAAAGTGTATAAAAGGCCTGTGCTCCTCACACAAGTGGTTGCACACAAGCAGCTAGCATCACTGTGTAATTACTATTCTCTGTCTTCTTCACTGCTCCTATTTTCCCCAGCCCATCTCTTCCCAGCTAACTCTCTGCCTCCCTTACTCTAAGGTCAGCTTCCCATGATTCTCCTTCTGTTATAGAAACCTCTAGGTACTGCTTATTTTGCTATGGGGGGAAATTACGGCATAAATGATGTGCCATTATTTTTATTTAAAAAAAAGTCATCCTCTCATGCAAATTATAACTGTAGGATCTTTGGGGAATGTAATTAGCATAATTAGTGGGAGCTTGCTTTAATTACACCCCAAGCTCAGCAGATAATCCAATAGGGATAGTCGAGTCTACCATCTTAGCGGGAGGGCTGTGTGAGGGACCATTGGGCAGGAAAGGCAGAGTGTGGTAAAGGGCTATGCTGTCTGTCCTAGAGTCAGCGTGGGGCTATTAGGGAACTAGGAATGGGAAGTAGCCAAAGCCAGGGAACATTCCCTGAAAGATGGTGGGAGTGAGGATGGAGAGGCATTTCATATTTCTGGCCATGCTTCACCCCAAACCCAATGGTGTTTTTGGAAGCTTCAAGGAATCACCCCAGGATCCAAAGGTGCCAAAACACACAAAACACTCAAATCCCTTCTTCAATTTACTGGGTCCTATTTTGTTGTTGTTAGGTGCTGTCAAGTTGGTTTTGACTTGCATTGACCCTATGACGGTAGAATTGCCACAGGGTTTTCTAGGCTGTAATCTTCTTTGTGTGTGTGTGTGTGATTTGGGTGAAGATTTATAGTGCAAGTTCACTTTCCATACAGCAGTTCACATACACTTTGTCTCATGACATTGACCACAATTTACCACAATGCAACAGCTCCCTCCCACTTCCTCCCCATAGTTACCTCTTCCCAGTGTCCATTCACTCTTACCCCCTGAGCTGTCTCCCTGTGCATAAGCAACCCTTCTTTCTCCCATGATTGTTCTCTCCAAAGAGTATATCTACCTCAGATAAATGTTCAACTCATATGCCTGTCTTTTGTTTGGCTGGAAACCACAGGTGTGGGTTCAATTCCAGACCTAAAGGGCAGCTAGGGACCGTAGTCTCAGTGGTTCCACCAGGCTCTATGGGACTAACAAACCTGGTCCCCCCCCCCTTTTTTTTTCTCCAAATGATTTTGAGTTTTGTTCCACACTGTTCTTCCTCTCTATCAAGGATCTCCTACATAGATTCCCCTTCCAAGGGGATAACAGTGGTAGCCAGGCACCATGTAGTTCTTCTGGTCTCATAGTTGTATAGGTTGCAGAGCAGATGGTGTACCACTCATCAGGACTAATTGTTTCCATGAATTTTGGTTTTCTTCATTCTTCTTTGCTCTGGATGAGGAGAGACCCATTGTTGCATCTAGATGGCAGCTTGCTAGCTTTTAAGATCCCAGTTGCTACTCACCAAAGTAGGAGGTGGAACAATGTTTTATATAGTATGTTATGCCAATTGAGCTTGATGTCCCCTGCGACTATGGTCCCAAGCCCATAGGTTCAACTACTCGGTCCCTCTGGGTAGCTGGCTGTGACCAAGCAGTGACCACAACCTTGCCCCTTGTCAGCTCTACTATACACCTGGGAATTCAGATCATACAAATACACTTATAGGACCATTGTCTGCCAACCCTATACATGGTCTTGGATACACTCCCCACTTCATAGACATACTTAATAGTTTAGCCTGTCCACCCATCCATCCACTCGCATACCCAGTTTTAGGCTGTAATCTTTAAAGGAGCAGATTGCCATGTCTTTCTCCCACAGAGCTACTGGGTGGGTTCAAACCACCAGTCTTCCAGTTAGCAGCCAAATGTTTGAAAATTGTGTCACCAGGGTTCTTTACTAGGCCCTATAGCTTGGTTTTCACATGGGTTTGCTGTGATTTGGTGCTGACTTGACAGCACCTAACAACATAGCTTGGTTAAAAATAATGTTAGCAGTTGGGCCCCTCCTGAAGGTCCCACACCCTCCTTCTTTAGCACCAGGATTGCTACCGGGACTCTTCCTCTTTCCCACCCCACCACCACCAAATACTGGGCACTCTACCTTATCCCCATTGTCTTCAGTGGCAGCACGAGGCCAGCCCTACCTGATCCAGTCGGAATTCTGGACTGCCAGCTGACACATGATGAGACGATGCCTGCTCGACACAAGGCCCTGGGAGGCAACAGAACAATCAATAGGAGGCTCCCTCCCTTCCCCACAGGGCCCCTGAAACGCTATCCCAAGCTAACCCTTTATAAAAACACAGCCAGTTTTCACTGATGAGAGGGAATGAGGGGGTGTGATCCTTAAGGAGATTGTCCATCTGCTGGACAGACAAGAACAGGGTGGCAGAGGGGAAAAGAAGGGAATGAAAGGTGTGTGGAGTGTGCCACCTTCAACAGGCCAATAGATGAGTCTCCATTTATGAAGTATCCAGTGTGTGTCTATCTGTTGGATGCTGGGTGATGTAAATGGTTAACATGCTCTGGTGCTAACTAAAAGTTTGGAGGTGTTTATAAAATAAATGTGTGCACAGCACACCAGCGAGCACAAAGAAGCTCTGATGGTGTAGTGCCTAATGCACTTAACTGCTAACCAGAGGCTTGGCAGTTCAAACCCACCAGCCACTCTGTGGAAGGAAGATGGGGCAATCTACTTCTGAAAAGATTTATTGCCTTGGAAACCCAGTGGGGGTCGCTGTGAGTCAGAATGGACTTGACAGTGGGTTTAATTTTTGGTTTTCATCCAGCACATAGATGAGACTGAACTCAGCAAATGTTGCCTTGTCTTACAGCTCAGTCTGGATGGTTAGGTGACTTCCTCCAGAGCCTATCGAGTTGCATTTGTGGGAGGAAGGAGGGATGACTGGTAGTGTTCTAGATTTTCTAGGGCCTGTGGTAGGGATGGAAAGGCAGGAGAGTGAATTTTAAATCAAACTATAAGAGCCATAGACTTTTTTCCACTAAAATCCTGGGAAAGAATTGCCCAGAGCAGCTTAACCCATAACCAGTAGCCAATTTGGCATCAGGGCCAATTTGCACACAGCAGGTGTGCCTGCTCCTCTTTTAATGAGCTCTGATGGGGGCCTGGTGCTGGGAGCAGATGCCTCCTCCTGGGCGAGTGTTGGCGCCTGGTCCTCCCAGCTGCTGCTCTAACACTCGTTCCGTCAAGTCTACTGGAGTCTAGAGATGGGAAGGAATGGGTGTGTTATGCCAGAGGAACTATAAATTTAGACAAGGGAAGCTGAAGGCAGAGAATAAACTCAGTTCGACCCCCTGCTGATAATTTGCATTTCTGCCTCCACCTCCCAAATACTGAATTTACGTTTTAACAAGATTCTCACGTATACTTAAGAATCATCTGGTAAGAGAAAGTGGGAAGAGTGCTGTTACATAGAGGGGATTGCAACGAACATCACGAAACAAAATGTGTATAAATTGTTGAATGGAAAATGAATTTGCTCTGTAAACTTTCACCAAAACTACAATGAAAAATTCACCAAAAAAAAAAAAAAAAAGAACAAAGAATCACCTGGGAATCTATAAGAATCACCTGATGATCTTGTTAAAATGTAGATTTTGATACCGTATAATGGGTAGAAATGCAAACTCTGGCAATGCAAACTCTGGGTGGGGTGGGGGGTTGAAAGGGAATGAACCAATGAACTGGTTCACGTCCTGGCTGGAGGAGGAGAGGGGCAAAGGAAAGAACCCACCTGTTTTCCATAGGAGTCGTGGACAGGAGAGACAATCCCACCAATCACAATAAACCTTCCAGTCTTGTGCAGATAATCCCTGGCTCTTTCTAATTCAGAGAAGAAAATGACATATTACAAAATGAAAGGTGTAGATTAAAGGTGATAATGAAAATCAATAGGTTTCATTCTGTAAGGGTAAGGTTTATTTCCCATCCTGCTTGCCTTTTAAGTAGAAAGTGCCAACTTTCAAAGCATAACATTAGAGATTCAAAAGGTTATGGAACCATATTTCAGCCTCCAAAGCAAACAGATTTAGAAGTCAAGGTGATTAAGCCAGTTGTAAAGGTCCTTTGTTGGCCAAGCCCCGAGTAGCTCAGAGGGGTTTAATACAAGCACCAATTTAAGAGCCATTAGAGCCACAGGATTGGAATTTATCCTATTATCACTTACAGAAATTCTAATGTGGAAGCATAGTTCTGTTTTATTTTTTAAAAAGCCTCCTTATAATATGAAAGGTATGCTGATTGCCTCATTTAGTTACTAAGAAGAGAAAAACCACCAAAACAAATTAAAAAGAGCTTGCATATAATTGGGAGCTCAGATGGTGCGGTTCAAACCCGCTAGCAGCTCCTCTGAAGGAAGATAGAGCAATCTACTTCTGTTCAAGATTTACCACCCAGGCAACCATTCAGGGTAGCTGTGGGAGCTCTGGTAGCATGGTGCCTAAGGCACTTGACTGCTAACCAGAAGGCTGGTGGTTCAATCCCACCGGCCACTCCTTGGAAGGAAGATGGGGCAATCTACTTCCGTAGTGATACTGCCTCGGAAACCCAAGGAGGGATCGCTATGAGTTGGACTATGAGTCGGGTCCAACTCAAGGGCACACAACAACATGAATCCAAATTGACTGGATGGCAGTGAATTTGGGTTTGTTTGGTTTTCCATATAATTAAGGAGAATTAACAATCAGCCATGAAAACCACCATCATCATTACAGTTGGTTAAGAAACCCAAGGAGGGGTCACTATGAATCGGACTCGACAGCAACGGGGTGTTTTTTTTTTTTTTCCTTTTTTGTATAGTTTTGTCTTTTCCAGAATGTCATATAGTTAGAACCATATAGTATGTAGCCTTTTCAGACTGGCTTCTTTCACTTTAGCAAAAAACATTTAAGGTTCTTCCTTGTATTTTTCTAGCTTGGTAGTTCATTTCTTTTTAGCACAAATACTCCACTTGTGGATTTACAAAATGTGGATTTTTTGTTTATCCACCTATTGAACAGTATCTTGGTTGCTTCCAGTTTTTGGTGATTATGAATAAAGCAGCTATAAATATTCCTGTGTAGAATTTTGTATGGACACACATTTACAACTTAATAGGGTGAATTCCTAGGAATGCAGTTAGTTGCTGAATTGCACAATAAGAATGTGTCTAGCTTTGTAACAAACTGTCAAACTGTCTTCCAAAGTGTTTGTTCTGTTTTGCATTCCCAGCAGCAATGAATGCTCTCTATCCTTATCAGCATGCAGTATTGTCAATTTTTTAGATTTTAGTCATTCTAATATTTGCTTTTAAAAAGAGTGGTATTACTCCACTCTTACTTTGAGGCCAAGGACATGTAGAAGGCCTTCTTTAGCTGTCAAAACCAAAACCATTTGGATATCTGTTCTCTTGGCCCATCTTCCTCAGGATCGTTGGCATCTGGTTCTTGGTCACTTCACAGACCCTCTGCTGCAACAGCTGGGTCCTTATTATCCTCCCTGTTCCTGAAGAATGTCCTCTCCTTTCTGCCCACTTACTTGAGCATCTCATTTGCAGCATCCAGCATTCCTGCTCTGTCCAACATCCCTCTCCTCAGCACTTCCTGCTCTACTAGTGTGCTAGGCATCCAACAACAACAAAGCCCCCAAACCAAGCCAGTTGCTGTCAAATTGATACTAACTCATAGCAACCCATGCGTGCAGAGTAGCACTGTTCCATGGGGTTTTCAAAGCTATGACCTCCTGGAAGCCGATCTCTAGGTCTCCCTCCTGAGGTGCCTATGAGTGGGTTCGAACCCCCAACCTTTCAGTTAGTAGTTGAGTGCTTAAACATTTGTACCACTCAAAGATGCTTCCCAGATATGATGCAGTGAATTCCGTGGTGTGGCTCTCCTAGCCATGGTCCTTGTGACTCCCACCAGAAAACTGGGTGGAACAATGGAGATGCAAGGTACTTGTGGTCCACCGAGGGGATTAGATAGCTTGTGAGTAATGTAAATATAGTCCATGGCCCCCATGGGGATGGGACCCTGCAAATAAGGTGTATAGAATTCTAATGTGGGGATTGGTTAGTTTTGTCCTTCTGCTGGGCTAAAAATGAGCCCTCCTAGAGGCAGAAGGGGTGATCTCAGTGTCATCAAGAGAGAAGAACTGGAGGTGGAGTGGAGTGCATCCTTGGTCCTGAGATCCTTGCACTGGACCTCCTTGGCAGAGAGATGGCAGAAATGACAGGCTGAAGAGACCGACTGAGATGACTGGCTGAGGAACAAGAGGCATGAAACAGAGCTGCAGGTTGCTGACCCACTGAGCAAGAAAGCTGAGTGCCTTTGAGCAGAAGACTTGTTGGTAGAGTGGGGTGCACCTAGGTAATCTATCGGCAGAGCGAAAAGAGCTCAGAATATGTCGCTCTTCAGCTCAACAGTCTTTAGTGGTTCCTTATCATTGATTCAATGGTTCTCACACTTTAGAATCACCTGAGAAGACTTGGTTAAAAACGCAGAATTTTAAGTCCCAACCCTACAGATGCTGATTTGTTTACTCTTAACTAGAGCCCAGGAATCTGCATTTCAATAACTTCCCCTGGTGAGTCTGCTGCAAGTGGTCCACAGAATACACTTTCAGCAAAAAAAACATCTGGGATAAAGGTTGTACTCTTTGACTTGGTTTTCAGTCCCCACCCTCCAAGCTTGGTTCTAGCTTACTTAGCTCATCCCTACCTTTGCCATGCCCACAGTCCAACCACAGTGGTTGACTAAACCACCTGGTGAGCATGCTGATGTTGTACAATTTGTGGGTATTTGCTGCAACCCATCACTCTGCTTCAGGAGCACTCCCTCTTTCTGTCTACATTCTGTCAAGGCCAGACTCAAATTATACCTCCAACAAAAAGCCATTCCCATCTCCTGCAGGGAAAATTAATCTATTCTAGTTTATACATGGAAGGAAATTTTCTTTGTTGGTTACCAGGGGTAGGAGGGCAGGGGAGGGAACACTGTTAGATAGGTAGAGACAAGTATTGATTTGGGTGAAGAAGAGGGCAATGTACCAAATGTGAGTGATCAACATGGTGGCTTTGAGAAGAAGAAGATATAGAAAGCTCCATGAGAGGTATAGACAACAAAGATGAACCCTTTTGCATATACAGAATTGTGTTGTCCGTGAAGGCAAACATTGATATACAGGTGGATAGACAGGTAGACAGGCTGAATTATTAGGTATGTCTATGCATGGGGGAGTGTGCCCATGACCATGTATAGGGTTGGTAGACAATGATTCTACACGTGTATTTGTATGTTTTGTAAGAATTTCCAGGTCTGTAGTAGAGCTGACAAGGGACAAGGTTGTAGTCACTCTTGGCCACAGGCAGCTGTGGGCTCTGGACCATGATCGCAAGGGATATCAAGCTCAATTGGCATAATATACTACACAAAAACACTTCCACATCCTACTTTCACAAGTAGCGACTGGGATCTTAAAAGCTTGCAAGTGGCCATCTAGATGCAACAATGGGTCTCTCCTTGTCCAGAGCAAAGAATGAAGAAAACTAAAGACACATGGAAACAATGACGTGTTTCCATGTAACTACAGTCCAAGCGACTGGTACACAATGCAATCCTCGGTCTATACGACTATGAGACCAGAAGAACTAGATAGTGCCCAGCTACCACTGTCAATCACTTGGAGGAGGAGTATCTGTGTAGGAGATCCTGGAGAGAATGGGAGAACAATGTGGAACAAAACTCAAAATCATAAAAAAAAGGACCAAGTTTGCTGGTCTGATAGAGCCTAATGGAACCACTCAGACTATGGCCCCTAGCTGCCCTTCAGGTCTGGAATTGAACCCACTCCTGTGGCTTCCAGACAAACAAAAGACAGGCATATGAGCTGAACATTTACATTAGGTAGATACACTCCTCGGAGAGATCAATCATGGGTGAATAGAAGGGCTGCGTATGCACAGGGAGACAGCTGGGGGGCAAGAGTGCACAGGAGGGAAGGACACAGAGAAGAAGTAACTATGGGGAGGAAGTGGGAAGGGAGCTGTTGCATTGTGGGAAATTGTAGTCAATGTCATGAGACACAGTGTATGTGAGCTGCTGTATGGAAAGTGATTTGCTCTGTATACTTTCACCCAAATCACAATAAAAATAATAGTAAAAAAAAAAAATTAATCTCTCTTGTTCTTTTTTCTCCTTGACCTTAGTATCTGAATTATATCATAGTTTGTTCAAATTACAGGGTGCCACCCATTAGTAGGTTGTGACCAGCTTTTTATTGAAATTTGCAAATACTTTGCTAGAATAGAAGACATTAGGAGATATTAGAGTGTATTGTTAGAGTAAGGGGATTTTTGTTTGAGTTAAATGTGTGTGTATCATATCATATAAAATGTACCTTACTATGAGCTGTAGTAAAAATTAAAAAAAAAAAAAGTAATAATAACAACAGCAGTGAAAATCTATAGCACTCTTCCCAATTTGCCTCATTAGAGCCATCAGTATAGTCTTCTGTTTCCTCATTATCATAAATCTTTGTATAATAATAACTAAAGCCACCTTTACTCTCATATCCCTCTAAGATCCATCATGGTATTCTGTGCTCAGTAAACATTTAGTGAGTTGGATCAAACTGGATGATCACATTTATCCTTCTTCTGAAATTAACTTTTCCAGATCACTTGTCCTTCAGGTTCTGGGGTTGGAGCTCTACTGTGAGGCAGTAAACTTTGGGGCATTACCAGGGAAGGGGGCCCTCATCTTGGGCAGAGAAAAGAGTACTCATCTTCTAATGCAACATGGTTCCTTAGAGCAATTAATTCCCACTAGAAATTCTGGAGTGTGATCTGA